CTACTAGGAAGAAAATTGACTCTATTCCAGCCAAAGCCAGGACACGCTGTTCCTCCATGACAGAGAGGACCATGGTGTCTTTGAAACAAAAGAGGAGCGTATGCATGTGCTGCTGAGCTGTTAGGAAATGGAGAGATGAGCAGAAACCCTCTGATCTACTCTGTTTCTTGGTGTGCCCACTCCCTTTGGCAGAGCTGAAGCTTGGCCATGCTTTACTCCTGCAGATCATTTCAACATGTGCAGCACACCCCTGGGCACTATGCTCACGTTTTTTAGAAAGATCACATTTATCTCCAAGTATGGGTCAGCAAACGGTTAGGGCTTTGAGGAATGACTGGCTTGCTGCACTTCATCAGTTAACAGCCTGGTTTGGGGTTTTTTCTGTAGAAAAAGGAGAAAAAAATGGACTGCTGAAGGCATGATAGACTTGTTCCTGAACCTGTGCTGCAGGATGCTCTAGGAGAGACAGGGGTACCTGGGCAGCTAATGGTGGACAGATGTGATGTGAAAACCTCAGCTGGTTGTGGTGCTTCAGTGCCCATTTCTTTCAAAACTTGTGTGCTTTACCTTCTCTAAACCCAAGCACATGGAGGACTATGGAGACTGAACATCCTCAGAGAGTGCCAGGTGAAGAAAGGGGTAAGCGTCTCGGTGATGTAGATGCGCATGCACATGTCGCACATTCGTTAACATTAGTGGGAAGGCTATGTGGATACCAGAGTATGATGAGGAAAACCAGTATTTACTGGGGTAATACAGCAGACATTGTGTTTGCTTGGTAGTACTCTTCTCTTATGTATATCTCATCCTACGTAGTAAGTCTGGCCCAGCTGCTGATGCCAGGGTTCCGCTGGCCACAAAGACTGCTGGAAAGCACACCAGACGCATGTGGACAGTCCCAGCCATGTGATGAGAGCGGTGCTGTGTCGGGATGAGGCCCCAGCAAATGCACTCGTCAGCAGAGGCTGGGGGAACCCAAATCCTGCTACTGCTATTCTGAGGCGGGGATTTCTGTGACCTGGCTCTGTACATTTTGGCATTTCAGCTAAGTCAGCAGAAACAGATTTATGCAGAAGGGCACAGACACGCAGAAGCACACTGCTCAGAAGCTGTATGTCAAAACTGGCGTAGTACAGCAGCAGCTTTGCTTTGCTCAGCATTACTTGCTGCCTTTGACGTACAAATATTAACCAAAAATGCATGGCAGCCTGCATGTTACAGATAAAATTGGCATATTCAGACTAAGGATGTAATTCTCTTTCAATTTCCCAAACCTTTTTTACATCCAGACAGAATACCTAAAGTCATGTTTATTTTTTTTCTGTCATGATCCTTTCTGGATCCTCTCCTGGCACAGTTAGTAACTTCTATGGTGTGTCAGAACTGGTATACTAAATCAGTGTTTTCAAGACGCTGAAAATAAAACAGGATTTTCCTGGACATGATACAATTACCAGGGGCTTGGGGAGTTTTGTGCATGCTAATGCAGGCCGATCCCTGTGCAGGAGAATCTTTCAGCCAAGAGAAGTGTGGGACACAAATACCCTTCATTAACCTTTCTTTTTTTTCCCTTGTAAAACTTTTGACTGGTTCTGACTTCCAGTTGTAGCTGGATGTTACCACAGCAGAAAGAGGCAGAGTTGGGCTGCTGGCTGTGAGGACTCCTCTGGAAAGGATCAAGGCAGAAGTTCCCGTCCTCATCCCCAGACTGCATGCAGTATCCTGAACAAGTGACTTGAAAGTCAGAGATCCTGCCAAGGATTTAATTAGCGTTGTCTCTATGTTGCCTTGGGAAGGAGGCTTCAGAATAATGCCAGAAAAAGCCAGATATGGACTAGTTTCGTACTCCGGGATGCTGTTTTGGAACAAGATGCTGAGACTGTCATTCCCTGTGCTAAAGTGGCAGTCCTGCAGCTCAGAGCTGAGACATGTGGAAGAATCCACCAGGTTCCACTTTACACTATTTCCCGAGGGATCTAGCAACACTGTAAGCTAGCATGTCCTCATATATCCCACTTTTTGCTGGTGTAGCTTAACAGTGTGGGTCCTTAAACATACCCTTTTTCTCTCTACAAGTGCTGCACAGGTTTGTACAGTGCAGCAAGTGATATTTGTGCAAGACAAGCCCCAGTGATGCCACTGCAATGCTCCAGCCTGTCAGTGCCTTTCCATCCAAACATGCAGAGCATCATGGGTGGCATCAGACAAGGACCCCATCTTTATAACAGAGACCCTCTGTAGAAGGGACCCTCTGGTGCAAATAACACCAATAAATCAAAAGAAAACAAGTATGTATTTTAAGTTTAAGCTTGAATGTGGGTATCAATTACTCTGGTCTCTGTTTTAAGATGACATGCTGAGGCCGGAACAAGAGAATATCTGACTGTGCCAACATCATCCTGAATCCTCTTTAACCTGCATCATCTCAGCAAAAAGAAAAAGCAAGATCAGGATATAAAGATAGGAGCAGGACCAATATAACAACTGTGGTGGGTACTTTTTATGCAAGCAGGTGAAAAGGCATGGGGTCTGTGCAGGATGGTCTAGCCGCAGCAGCTGGGTGCTTCTTGTGCTCCCAGTTCTTGGGATGACCCTAAAATTTGGCGTTACCCTCAAGCTACCCAGCAGCTTACACAGACACAGGAAGATGCCTCCTGCTCTCCTGTGCTCTCAGTGCCCTCACAGACACTGGCAGGGCAGCAGACTGCTCCCAGGCTTTTCCCTTCAGAAAGGAGAGGAGCTCTGAGACCTGCAGGGATGCTCCTGGCTGCCCACAGCGACACAGGGCAGGTCCTGCCAGCCATGCAGCCTCCGGATGTGGGTCTCACCTTCTCCCTTTGCACAGGAAGGCAGTAGTAGCAGCTTGAAGCAGTTGGGCTGTGATGAGAAGTTGAGGTCAGGTCCAGCTCAGAGCTCCTGGTGTTGCTGCTGTGATGGAGGAAGGCAGCTGCCTCTGGCAGGAAATCCCCTGAGCCACAGATAGTGTCTCCTGCCTCCTCACTGGAAAGGTTTGCAAGTGGTGCTGAGGCAGCAGGAGGGGGAAGATGCCCTTTAGACTCTGGTAAGAACTAGAGAAGTGAAAGACTTTGCAAAGGAGGCTCTGCACATTTATGCTACCGTCATGCGCAGGGTTACAGCCTTTGTGGGGAAGCCCTGGGTCATAGCCTCACTCCAACAGCTACACAACAGCAATCAATGAAACCTCTGAAAAGAGGGAGATATCCCCTAGCAGAGATGCTCCGCAGCGCCAGGGAAAGGCCATCCTCTTGCCAGCTGGGGCAAATGGGCTCCAGCACTTGTCCCAAAGCACTCACACAAAGGCTGCAGGACAGGGCTGCAGAAATTGTTCCCATCTCTTGTGCTTCAGCTGGGCAAGGTCGGATCTAGAGGGCTCGTGCTGTGAATCTGCACAGGAGATAGCTGGTGCTGTCCTCCTGCCCACCACCCTTTGGCTTTGTCCTGAATTTTTGTGAATCCTCTTCTAGAACACCTGAGTGTTTGCATATACAAAAAAAGCCTGGTTGCCCAAGGGTGGTAAGGCACCCAAAAGGCAGGAGCTGTACTGCTGCGCCTGGCTGCAATCCTGTTCCTGGGATCTAGGCAGCAGCTGAACCTTTTCCTCTGGTCATAGTCTTTGCTTTACAGTTTGGATAATGTGTGTCATGGCCTACGTGAGGCAGCATGTATTTCTTACACACCTTCTGTTATGGTCTGTTCTTGCAAAGGATTGTACCTTGCAGATTGCAAATATGAGTACACATTAAAATAGTAAATCCTATCCAAAGAAGATCAGTGGTTTAAAAGGATTGTATTTTGTGTTTTGTTCTGCTCTACTCTAGGAAGTAAGCCCAAGGGTACTCAGTATGTGTGGAAACACTACAAGGGCAGACTCTTATAGGAAATTAAATTTCTAGAATAAAAGATAATTTACTTGCCACTTCTTTTTTCCCCAGGGAAGGAAGAAGAGGGAGGGAGGGAGAGGAGGGAGAGAAGAGGCAGCTGGAGGGATTGTCAGTTCTGTAGAACTGTCCAGGACAGAAGAAAATGCACGAGCTGAAAGAATTAATGATGAAATAGGTTCCTCAGGTGCAAGGACCGTGCAATTACACTGCATGCAGTATCTTTATTATAAAACTTCAGTATATCTTGTAGGGAGAAATAGGTCAAGACTAAAAGCTTCAGGACACCATTGCATTTATCTATCAGTATTTGTATATATAAAAAGATATATGTATATATATATATATGCACATATATGTATGTGTATATATTTGTGTATATATACACAGATGTACATGTATGTAATGTACATCTATATGTATATGCATAGGTAACCATTCACATATAAACCAGTCATTCACAGTTACCAGGTTGGAACAGTAACTAGGAGGTCAACCCCAGTCGAGCAGCAACGATACTGGCACATCAGTTGCTTGAAGTGTTCAGAAAGTTCCCTCATGGGGAAGTGTGAGCCTTATCTGGGTTTTAGGCATCTCTGGAGCCTCTGGCCACTCAAACCAGCCAGTGCCACCCACTTTAGCTACCACCTGAGTTCCAGGATGCTTGGTGTATTACCTCTGTTTGTGTCTCTCTCCATCCTGTTTCAGGCACCCACAGAACAACCAGCCCCTCGGCCAGCGGGTCAGGGCTCTGCTGAGAGCAGCCACTGCCCTGGCCCATGGCTTACCAGCCAGTGGGTCCACAGGGAGCTTTGACATATGACTTTTACTGCTCTCTCAGCTCACATTTGGTATTTTTTCCATTCTTCAGCCTTTTTTTTCTGGTAACTATTTCTCCACTCATCCCTAGGGCACTTGTTCATTCCCATAAGGGTTTTTTCCTGACATCCAAAGTGTCGTTTCTAGTCTACAGCTTCCAAACCCTTCCAGCCCCAGAGCTGTAAACCCTGGTAGCAGATGGGGAGTCAGGATCATACCTAGATATTCCTCCATGTTGATTTTAACAAAACACATGCATAACATTTATTTCTTTGTTGCTTATCTAATTATTCACTCACTAAGCTCTTTCTGGGCTGGAAACCTTGTTCAGATTTGTCAACTGGGAGCCAGGCCCTGGTGTGATGCCTTAAACTTGGGCACTGTTTCCCTCCAAAGAGCAGGTTACCACTCCTGCTGTGAGCCCTGCCGCTGCCTACAAAGCCAATCCGCTCTGCTGAGACAAGGGAAGGAGTGACCAAGTGTCCCAAGTTCAGAAACATAAACAGTTCCTTTCAGTACTGAATCTGAGGTGGGGGAAATATTTCTAAGGCACCTCTCCATGATGCTCAGGCAGTGCGGGAGTCTGCTGGTAATTTCAGCCTCCCTTTCACAAAGCAGGCAGGGCAGGACATGCAAAGGGAAAGGGAGGAAGATGCTAGAAAAGACATTAAAAAGTAAGACCCCCAAAGGCAACCATGATAAAAGCAAACTCAAGCAGCTGCTTCCACTTTTCCTGTCCTAAAAGGCTGCCCAAACAGTGCATCCCTGTGGATGCCCTGCTGGGAGGATTTCTTAACTTCAGGTCACCTGTTTGGGATGAAAGTTTTTTACTTGTAGCTCTACAAGACAGTGCCAACAAAAGATGACTGTGAGGATGTCACACGCAGAGAGGAGTGCTTGTCCAGGCTGCGCCCATCGAAAGCACTGTAGTCTTTGCAGATCAACAGAAAACGTGTGTATTTTCTGAAAGCTTCGTGGAGATGCTTCTTGAACTTCTCACCCACGAAGGCATAGATGACCGGGTTGAGACAGCAGTGGACAAAGGAGAGCGCCTCAGCCAGCTCCATGGCTAGGTCTAGCCTTTGGCTTGTCTGGCAGTCGTCGATGATGTACATGTTCCTCAGAGAGTCCAGAAAAAGCACAATGTTGACGGGGGTCCAGAAGAGGAAAAACACAATGACAACAATAAAAACCAGTTTCATTGCTTTGTACTTGTTCTGAGTATGGCACTTCTGCAGGTTTTTCAAGATGCTGTGGTAGCAGAAAATGAGGACAACAACAGGGATCAGCCACCCCAGGACATTAACTTCAAAATTACTGAAAGTCTTCCAGCCATTGTTGCTGTCAGGATAGTGAGGGATGCACTTAGTCTGGTTATTGTCATTCATTTCCTGGAAAAAAATTAAGTCTGGTGCTGATGCTAAAATGGCGACTGCCCAAAGGACCAGGCTGGTGATAATCCCATGGGCAGTTGTCCGAACCTGTAGAGCATAGATGGACTGGACAATGGCCAAGTACCTGTCGATGCTCATGATGGTTATGAAGAAGGCGCTGCTGTAGAAACCAATGAAGTAAGCTGAGCTGATGATTTTACACATCGTATTTCCAAAAGTCCACTGGCTCACGATGGAGTACTGAGCCAAGAAGGGGAGGGAGAAAACAAAGAGGAGGTCAGAGATGGCAAGGTTCAGCAGATACACATCAGTCATGGCCCTGACTTTCTTGAAGACTGTTAGGACCCAGATGACCAAAGCATTTCCTACAAGGCCGGTCACAAACAGTAGGGAGTACAGCACTGGAAAAAAGGTAGATGCAAATGCTGGAATATTTTCAAGATCACAGCTGATGTCCAGTTCTGGGTAGAAGAAGGCGTATTCATAGGCTGCAGAGGAGTTAGATGTTGATGACGTGTAACCCACCTGTTCAAGGACAATGAAGTTCATGAGGCCCAAATCCCAAATTACCCTCTTAGTAATATACTAGGCACAAGTCAGCTCACACCAAGCTGCATGAGGACAAAACAGCTGTGCCTCACTTGTGTTGGAGGATGCAAATGAGGAATGAACATGAGTGACCAGTCCTCCCCTGCAAGATCTGGGATGAGGTTCTTGCGCCAGAGAGGCAGAGGAGATCAAGGAAAATGCAACTGTGGTGGTAAACCAGAGGTTACCAGTATCCCCTTGCTGGCTCCATGTGGGGTACCAAGCCCTGTGCCTGCAGTCCAGGTGGGGCACCGGGGCCAGAGACAGTGAGCATCACCAAACCAGCAACCAAATATGTACGGCCAGGGGGCTGAGAGCCTCCAACATAGGTTTTGGGGTCCTATTCCACATTTCCTTCAGAAAGGAGAAAGGGAGCAGGGCTCAGGGAGGAATTGACACGTAAACCCTCATCTCCTAAAAGCTGCATTTCCAGTTAGCTGAGTGCCAGAAACAGCCCATCATGGGACAAATTACTTTTGCAGAGGATTCCTGCACAGTTCAAGCAGGTTTTCAGCTGTAAAGGCACCAGCACGTACAGGTCACCAGTGGGTGCTGCACGTTGCATGCTCTCTCTACCCGAGGTGAGATCGGTGGTGGCAGCTCTGGCCTGAGGGGTGACTTCCCAAAGAGCAGACGGGGCTTTCTGCCCCTTCCTCCCTCCTCCCCAGCAGGAGCTTTGCCCTCTCAGCCTGTGCCAGGACAAACTGCTGCTGCCAGCAGCTCATGCCCACCACGACTTTACTCTCCTAACAGGGATGGCTGGTTTTCCTTTCAAGACCAGTGGCTCTGCTCTCCTGGCACCTGTCAGGATGCACCAGCAGCAGCGATGTGCCCCTTCCCTGCTCCCCAGCCCCTTACAGCCTCCCAGGAGCAACCACCGCATCCCTGGGCAGCACCTATGACAGCAAACAACTGAAGAAGGTGGGTGGCAGGACATCTCCCAGTCAGCATGTCCTCCATAGGACACTCCTAGCACTACCCTTGCCCTTGAAGACAGCCTTCTTCCACAAGCACAGTCTCATCAGGCAAAGATATTTTCACTCAATGTTTTTTTTTTTCAGGAAACAACAATCACACTGATTTCTTCTAAACCCCTGTCATCTCTACCAATACTATGTATCCCCGTAGGCAAAACTGGACCCCTCAGATATGCTACTGGCCTTGGCTTGCAGGGCAGCAGTCCAGCGGAGAGTGACTCACCGACACGTCCTCGGAGCTGCTTCTGCCCAGCAGGTATGTCAAGTTCCCCTCCATAATCCAATGCTGTGTCTGAAAAAGTGCCCAAAAAAATGTCCTTACATCACAGGTTTTTAAGAAGTGGGCATACCTACACACATATATGTCGGCAGTACTTACCCTAGCTTATGTTGCAAGGCCAAGTCACAGGCAAGGTCCTCACCCCGTAGCAGTGCACTTTCCTCTGTGTGATATGTGTTATGTTAAAGACGTATAAAACCCCACAGGGGTGAGTTCAGCCTCTGTACTTTACACTTTGAGAAACGGAAATGTTTCAGGTTTTATCTTCTGAATAATCAGTATGGTTTTTCACTTTGAGCATTTATACTAACGTCAGTGGAAGAGATTTGCAATTACCCTGTGTCTGTGAACTGCCCCCATCCTTCACCTGGTTGCCCCTGTCCTGCCTGCCGCCCCTGCTCTGCAGTCCCCATGGCTGGGAGAGAGGAAACAGTGCTGCCTCCCCTCTGCTCCAAGGATTTTTGGTGAAGATGTCTGTGGGGGATGGCCCAGTGCTGCTGATAGACAGCGATGGCAAAGGGCACCATGTTTGCTTTTACTACGTTTCTCCTTTGAAGGCGCTTTCCCCCTGCACCCACCATGCACAGACAGAAATACCCAAGGGAACTGATCATAGAATCATAGAATCATTTAGGTTGGAAAAGACCTTTAAGATCATCGAGTCCAACTGTAAACCTAACACTGCCAAGTCCCTATCACCCTTCCTTCCCAAAACATGCACCCTGCAGATGCTCTCGCAGACTAACGCTGAAGTAAAGCCCTGAACAGCACTGGATTTCCACTGACTCTGCCACATACCTGCTGGGGCCTCATCCTGACCCAACATGGCTTTCATCCCAAAGCTGTCTCCAATCTCCCCCACAACATAAGATATATGGGAAAGAGGAGCACTACTAAGCAACAGGCAGCATTTGAAGTGTGTGTTATCTCCTTAAATACTGCTGCTTCTCACTATAGCCTTGTGCTATTACTGTAATTCAGGCAAGCCACATCACCTTTTTTCGTTTGTCTTTGAGCAAAGAGTACCTCTCTGGCTGTCAGTCCATAGATGTGCTGCTAGAGATCCCCATGTGGAATGGTCTATCATCTCTCTCAAACCCTCTGAACGCCCACCTTCATTGCTCCAAAGGCAGAGGGATAAATCTCTGTGAACCAAAAAAATCCACAACTATTCCACGTGGCAGTGGGTGGCTTTCTTTGGCCATGGTGGGTGGAATGATACTTGGGTCAAAGTTTTATGTGCAAGTCAAGCCATGTGTATATGATAGTCTGATTGACAGCCAAGCTCTGCTGGGTATTAACTCTTGAGATAGCTGAAACCAGAAACAGAAAACAGAAACCAACTCCTTTGTCATAGGACTTACTGGCAGTGTTGAAGTTGGACCTCCATTATCCATTTGCAGGTTTAAAGCGGCACTTACATCTCTGTCAGTGTTGGTGGCAGAGAAGATACCTAGGAATTATGCAATATGGAAAAAAGAGGTGGCAATCCTACACAGGAATTTGGCCCCTTAGGCAGTTCTGTACCTCTCATCTCCGAAGTAGCGATGACAGGCTGCCCGAGCACAAAGAACAATCAGCCCCAGCAGCACCAAGACTGCTGGGAAGCTGTGAAATGCCCAGGCATCTCCCAGCGCAGCAGGGAGAGAGGCTCACAAGCCACCCTGCATGGTCGCTGGGACTGAGGGTGACACCTGGGCCACTCACACCACAGACACCATGCTCGGGGGAGGCGTTTCAGTGAGCCTGAGCGAGAGAGGAGCAGGCTGCCTGCGGCATTTGCGCGGAGCCTGTGGCAGGACATCCTCTGGTGCCTGCACTGGCTGGCGCAGACACAGCAGCACAAAGCACCCTCAGAGCCACTGCTGCTCCCTGGACCCACGGCACGGGTGGCTTCACGAGCCTTCCTGGGGTCAGGCTTTGTCCCCAGCCGGAGATGCCGAACGGCACCTCTGCTTGCAGCTCACCGAGCTCCACCCCAGGCTCTTCCTATGGGGGAAGCAGTGGCCAGAGGAGGCGAGACGTCAACAGGCATCAGTGACGGCAGTGGCACAGGCCGCTGGCACCTTGCGCGCAGGGGAGAGACAAGGCCAAACACCACTCTCAGGGAGACCTTGGCACAGCAGCGGGAAGCCCTGTCTGAGGGGAGCCCAGGAACCATGCAAATTTTCCACCAGCCCCGGAGGGAAGGCGGCCAGTTTCCCCCCGCTTTCAAAGAGTGGTGTCAGAGGGAGAGGAGGAGGAG